TTTTTGTCATTAACAGATAGTTACAGGTGGATAGCCCTTGTCAATAATAACAATAATTTGTCAAACTGTGACTTACTTTGAATTTCCTTTCACGAAGTTGCTGATATGCGATTAGTTCAGGGGAAATGCTACAGTAACATAGCAGAAGCTGAAAGAACTCACGCCAACAAAGGGCGAGGAGAGTGGTTCCAGGAAGATAGTGGACGACAATTGATGTTCGGGTTCCACGCACAGAGCGACAAGTATTGGACATAATCAAATCAGGGCCTTCCAGGGGCACCTCAGAGCACAATAACTGACACTTTCCCAAGCACCAAGTAAATACCGAAGAAAGGCGTTTGTACGATACACACAGCACAAGGAGATACAAATGGAGCACGAGTTAATTAACTGAATACGAGAAGCTGCATGATAAGAGTGGATAATAAGGAGATTACACACGCACTAGCTTGTTTGGAGTTAACCATTCAAATGTTTGGTGTTGTATGGAGAATTTCTGTAAACACGAAACCCCGCAGAATTCGAGGTTATGAGAACAGGTTGACATTTCGTCATCAAACATCGCTGCCGTGTTTCTGATATAGTTGTTTGCAAATTTCTCAGTTTTTAATAACAATTAATTTCTTTTACTATTTTTTCTCTACTCCTATAACAGCGCCAGACGTTCCTATTTTCTATATCCAAAGAGCTTTTTGTAATCTTTGTGTATTATGAGCAAAGGATAGATTAACAATAATCACGTCGTTATAAGCTGATGGACCACATTCTTAAGTTTATCATTATCATTACTTGCTCTAGTTAGGATTGATCATCAATGACATAAATGAATAGTAAATTAATAAATGCAATATTAAAACTCGGTACGTACTACAATTATCTGGTTTTAATAGTATAGCACAACATACAGTTTTAAGTCAATTTCTGACAAGTTTGCGCACTCGATTTACTTTAATTTTGAGCGCAAACTAGTTCGTTAATTTTTCTTTTTAACGCCATGAAAATAGTATTTTTAAATGCAGTTTTCTTTGTTACACAACGAAAGAACTTTTTAATATAACTTTCTAATTTGCATCACTTCAAAGGAAATATGAATTTTCTGGATGCAATTGTACTTCTAAGAGAGCAACACTTAGCAGCAGCTCATAACGCATAATGGCTCCTGCAGTACGTCGAGGCGAATTATTCGCTTTGAATGTTACGATGCACAAAGAAAACTGGAAATGTCATTAAAATAATTAGAAAACTTATTAGTACAATGCTTGAAGTTTGTAAAATATAAGATATTGAAATATAACAAGTTTAAATATAAAATACGTCTTGGAAAGGTTAGTTCAGATATGATTTTTAACACACGTTGGGGAGATACAGTCTTACAATTTTATTTCAAATACAATTTCAACATAATTTTGATAGAAACATAAAGTTTTGCTCGCAAATTAGGTGCCGCGATTGATTATTCAATCAGTTCTAAGAGTCTAATTGTCACTTTTGTTGGCCTTATTTTTCTGTATGGAAGGAGAACCAACGAGGGCCCACTAAATCGAAAAACATTTTTTGTGGTTTCAACCATCGCCAAGAAAACACCATCTTTGTGCTTTCTGCTATTGTAGATTTCACCGCTTGATTGGATTTTCTGCACAATACTTTCTGCTGCCTCCAGGTCCCTGAGCGGAGATTTTCACCACGAAGGTTGTGGAATAGATGACCAGGAGTTCTTCTTCTTTTTATACTGTTCTTGCGATTTGTTAATTCTGAGCACGCCTTTGCAGTATTTCATGGGATGTTCATTGCCAGCTATCCTTCCATCTTTTAGGTGGTCTTTCCGCTGGTCTAGTACCTACTGGTTTTCCCTCCAACGCGTTACGTGGTAGACGTACGTGACTGTACCACTGTCTCTTTCTTTGTCTTCCCCTTCGTACCACGTTCTGCACTCCATATTGTTCCCGGATATCCGAGTTTAATAATAATAATTGATGGTTTTTATTTTTGGCACTTGACAACGGTAATAAAAATACTAAAACTAACAGATATTTATGAAAAAAACTAATACTCTACTTTAACATACATAAAACAATAAGCCGACGCCAAAAGTAAGGGCCAATCAGCGTCCACCTTAAAGATCTTTTTCTTCTTCTTTCTCACCCTGTCTCTTCTGGTTTTTCCCACGATCGTTCTTAGAGTCTTCATATCTGCTACTCGCAGCATTCACTTTGTTTTATGTGTTGCTTCTCGTATCTCTATGCCGTATGTCATAATGGGTCTCACGCATGTTTTGTATATTTTTACATTGCTCTTGGTTCGCATGTACTGATTTGCCCATCCCGCAGCTTTATTGATTTTGCTTCTGGGGTCCTTGACCGGATCGTGACTACTTGACAGGTCAACGCCAAGGTATCTAAATTGTAATACTTGTTCTATAATTTTGTCTTCGATAGCAAGTTTACATCGAACAGGTTCCCTGGCAATTTTCATGCCCTTTGCTTTGTTAATAGAAATTGTCATTTTGAGACGGTGGCTGATTTGGTGGAATCTGAAAAGCTGCCTCTGGAGGTCGTCTTCGTTCTCCGCGATAATTGCGGCGTCGTTCGCATAACATATTGTGCTGATTCTCTTGGTGTTAATTCTGTACCCTTGGTTCATGGATGTCATTGCTTTTCTAGTTGTATCCATGAGGATATTGAACAGAGACGGACTGAGACCGGACCCTGTCTGATTCCTCCTAGTATTGGAATGCTATTTAATATTTGGTTTTGTGATTTTACTTTTGTTGTGTTGTGACGATTTAGATTGTGAATTACTTTCGTAATGTTTGCTGGTGTGTTCGTTTCTGTTAAGCTCTAGATGATGTTGTCTAGACGCACCCTATCAAACGCCTTAGTCATATCTATGAAGCACATATAGGCCAGTGCGGTGAATATAGCGTCTGTTGTTGATCTGTTTCTCCTAAACCCCTGTTGTTCTTCGCGGGTTTTTATGTGTTCTTCTAGCTTATTCTTCAGTATTCCTGTAAATGGTTTCATTGTAGCTACGCTAGCAAGACGGAGCAGATGCTACAAGAATATTTGGTAACCTAAGTCAGATCGAGAATTTTTTTTATGGTTGTAAAAAATTAGATTTGAGCGAATTGAAACAGTTAGCAGACAGTAATTAGGTTTGTCAAATCATGTGTTTTTTTAATTTAAGTTTATTTATGCATTATTTAGGTCTAGGTATTGAGTAGCTATTTAGGCATTGAGTTTATTGAGTTATTAGCTTTGTTGCGGAATATATAAATAACTAATCAGGTGCGTCTTTGGTGTTTGCCTTTTTTGAATTTTTTTATTTTATTTGGCAAAAGGTTTTATTTAACGTTGTCATTGATCCTTACCACACGGTAAGGATGATTATTCGGAATCAAAGGGGGTTGATGCATTGGCAAAGCTCGTAACTTCTGAGAGCCCAATAACTACCGAACCTCACATAGGGTTAACTAACCGACAGGCTGCAAGCGCTCCAAATGACTGGGCACCTTTGATTCTTGATTACCTTTTGATAAAGAGTTTTGATAAAGGGAAAATGTAAATAATATTCAAGAAGGTTCTATTCATATTTTTTAGCTTTTTTCAACAATTTCAACAATACCTCCAATAAAAAGTTATAGCATTATGCTACCAACCTACGGTAAGTGAAGAACCTATTAAAATCAATAAAACAGCCAATAACCTATAAATACGAAACCTATTTCGGTGCTTGGTGGTGAAACAAAATTTTTTTATATAAATCTGTGGTTCTGAAAAGAACCGTTTTGAAATGTGGACAACTCACAAGAGGTGTTCGAAGTTCTGCCCATTTAACTCCAAACATGTTTGTGCCCGTTTAATCATGTTATTGTGCACTCTGCGTAACATTCCTGGACTCACATTTTGTGCAGCTTTCCGTATTCGAGTTACTAACTCCTGCTCATTTTGTAGTGGTCTTCGGTACACAAGAAATTTAATGTGCCCCCAAAAGAAAAAAATCCATCGGAGCCAGGTCAGGGGATCTTGGTGGCCATTTTACTGGTCCATTTCAGACTATCCATTTGTCTGTGTATTGATGGTCAAGCCAAGCTCTTACCGGAGCAGCGAAATGGGCTGGAGCCCCGTCCAGAGATTTTGAACGGAGGCTGGTGACAGATTGTCAAGTAAATTTTGAAATTCCGAACGAAGAAACAATAAAAAATTTTCACCATTGACCCGAGATGTCAAACTTACGGGTCCCAACGGTCACGGTCTTGGTGATGGAACGAAATTGTGGCATGTGGGTTCTCGGTGGCATAAACATGTGAATTGCGGGAGTCGAAAAATCCATTTTAACCGAAATTTACTTTGTCGGTCCATTTCTAGCCCTTTGAATTAGCCGGCGCAGCACATGCGCGCTGGGCTGTCGTCGGTTGGGAAACCTGTTGGCGTAAGTTCTAACAGCTTCTGCTACATTACTGTGGCATTCCCCCATACCTAATACCATATTCGCATATTCAATATTGGTGAACATTTTGAAAAAAAGTAAGTAACTCACAATTTGACAAATGCTTGTTATTCGCGTCAAAAGATATCTACCTGTGACTACCTGATAATGACAAAAAACATCATTGCGGCTTTGACTTCTCATCGAAAACTTGTAGAAGAGTATTTTGAAGCAAAGACAGTAATTTTTCTTTTCGAGCGGTTAAGTATTTCAATAGGCTACCAATCAAAGATGGGACCATTTAAGAATAATGCCTAATAACAAAGTTAAAATTCGATTTTCAACTGCTAATATCTTCTTCAAATTTGCGAAAAAAAAATCGATATTTTTGTTGTACTTCCAAGTGAGCCTCTATAACCCCTTGAAAGGAATGACGCCAATTTTGAATCACCCTGTATGGCAAGAAGGAGATAGGCAATATTTCATCGAATCAAATTTCAACTTTGTGAACAATTACGATCTTTTTGTCAAATTACGAATATTTTTGATGTTAAAAAAGTACTCTTCTACAAGTTTTTGATGAAAAGTCAAAGCGGCAATGATGTTTTTTGTCATTAACAGATAGCTACAGGTAGACAGGCTTTGTCAATAATAACAAGAATTTGTCAAACAGTGGCATGTTTTGAAGCTCCTTTCACAAAATGTAAACCAACAGCGAATTTACGAATCTGCAATTAGTTATGAGAAAATGCCACAGTACGATAGCAGAAGCTGCAAGAACTTACACTAGCAAAGAGCTACACACTAGACGAGTGGCCCGAAATGGACACAGATAGTGGACAATCTGGTGCTCGGTTTCCACACCTAGGGGAACAGATATTCCAGATTATTGCAGCTGAGCCTTCCAGGAGTACTTGAAGCACTGCACAACAACTGCACTTTCTCAAACACCGGATATTTAATTGTCCCGATAACTCCCCCGAGGAGAGGCCTACTCTACATTCCTACCATATATGTAATATGTACAGGACATTAGAACACATTAAATCTCGGATCTTCCAAACACCGGTTCAAATTTGAGCAGCAGTTAATTAATTAACCGTATGCGAAAAGCTGCTCAAAATATGAGCCCAGACTGCTGGCAAAACTATACGAAAAGCGATTGGGACACAAAAATGTTTGGAGTGAAACGGGCAGGACTTCTTGCTCTTGGAAACACTTGTATTTTAAGAACAGAATTTTTATTTTATTCGATCAATAATACCTTTGAGTGGTGATTTTGGATGACAGTTGCAACCTATTTAGGTGTATCACTCATTTGCCCCAAAAAGATAGCAGCACTCTGGGGGCTGTTTTGTCGGAGCACTGACCCCAAAGTAATACCGTTGTTCTAAGCTCAACGCATGTTATTGTCTCTTTTATTTTTTTTGCTTTGTGTTTATCCATGATTACTGGAGTTTTTAATAATTACGAAGGAACAAGTACTTACAAAATGTTAATTAAGCAGATTACCTCGAAAAACATTGTTGCCATAATTCGGATCTAGTTTTTTGCAAATATCCGAGTTTTTAATAACATTTAATTTTTTCGGTACTCCCAAGACCCAAACACCTCCAGAAAAATGACGCCAATTTTGAATTACCCTGTATTATTGAGCTCAATAACATTCGAGATTTTTTAATCCATAAGCTCTCTAAATGTTTCCCCTTGACTTTCAAACCTACGTCAACTAACGGCAGACCTTTCAGATCAATAGCATTTAATTGAAATGCTGAAACCAACAAACCACCTCCGTTATTCGATGCAAAGGAGAAAAGGCTTTTGTACCGAAATTTTCACATTTCGTACCGTTTACGTTTCATTCGTTTTCGTCGAAGCAACCACGGTTTTTCTCTAACCACTTGATAAAATAAATGCGACGGAGTTTAGGCATGTTTAGGATGAATTCAATTTGCGTTGAAATTTACATTGCTATAAAAAAAGTTCTCTCACCGCATATAGATAGGAATTTTCTGTTACTACGGAATTAAAAAAACCTGGAGTCATATTTTTTTCGTTTAAAATCGACCGATTTCCAGTAAAATACTGTGGGTAAAATTAAATGAAATCATTCTGAACTATTTATATAAGGAGTACCGCATTATCCGAATATACTGACGAGAGGGCAGGAAGATGGCTTTTAATTTAGTTACTCCCAGAAATGCTATTTATAACGTATGTCTTCAAAGCCTGGATTATCGTTAAGCAAAGGTTTTTGGACGGCACTAGGCCACTGTCGTCGAAATCGAAAAAGTTTTGACAATTTTCACCAAAAAAGTATTAGTGAGTAAGATTAACAATTTTTCACATCCTTAATTCAACATTCTCGGCTATCTGTTGCCATCGACGACCGGCTGATTTACCGCGGTTTTCGAAAAATCTTTTGAATCGAAATTATTGCATGATGTATTCGAAGAAAGCGTTGATTTTTCATTGTTAATATTACGAGCTTACTCGTTTCAATGTTGAGAGCATTTATCGTAAAGCTAACGAACCCATAATATTGATGCCGATAGGAACATTTTTAATATTAGACAATATTAATAAGAACACTTGAGCAAAAAAGTAATTATGTACGGTGAAAACCCAAGTTTCACAAAATTATTCTTACCGGAGCGCAGGGAGCGATCATTATTCTCTTTGGCAGTAATGAAAGAGAAAGCTGCAGAGGCAAACTTAAAGAGCTTAATTTGTTAATCACTCGGGCGGCATATATTCAAGAACGTCTGCTATACTTTACAACAAAAAGACAAGTTCCAACATAAAGACTAATCTGCGGATTATGCGCGTCAACAACGGAAATTTTTTCGTTTTATTTGAAACAGTATTAAACTGTAGATTGCCAACCAAACGCATCGGACTATCTACCAAACTATAAACTCAATATACAGGGTGATTTAAAATAAGCATAATTCCTTTTAAGGAGTTATAGGTGCTCTGGGAGAGTACGGTTAATTCAATGACCCATTCTGCTCATCTCGCCGTCTCCTTGCGAAGGTTGGCGATCCAAATGGCCAGTGTTGTTTTGGAAGCAGTTTTTCAGACATTCTTATGAATTTTATTTCTAACGGAATAGTAATTATCTCGGGCGTAGAGTTAGAGCAAGAACTAGTATTTTGCGGCTAGCAAGTAAGACTTTGAACGCTCTATCGACAACACAAAATTAGGCACACTCAAGTTCAACTGAACAACTGATGTATTAAAGCGAAATTAACAACTTTATAACAGAGCAAATCAGGCTTGACTTTGAGAGCAATGAGCTTAAGAAAAGGAAATAAATTCGAGCAGTGTGTCACTCGGATATTTTTGGTAACACCCTTATCCTATGGATACCTTAACTTCAATCAAGCCTAGATGGCGCAGGGGAAGGATCCTGAGGGGGACCAGCTGGAGTGATCACTTCAGTCAGTAGCCTCGCAGGTCTTCCAATGAGTAACGGTCGTGAGCATATAAATAGAAAGAAAGATCAACAGTAAAGGGGTACCAAAATATTAGCGGAAATTACTCAGGCTCGACTCTGAAGCAAAATTAAAGTAATGAAAAAACTGAAAGAAAA